GAGAGGGTCAGAGGGAGAAGCAGACTCCCTGCTGAGCAGGGAGCCTGATGCGGGACTCGATCCTGGGACTCCAGGATCATGACCTGAGCCGAAGGTAGTCACTTAACCAACTGAGCCACCCAGGCACCCAAGATTTTATTTATTTCAGAGAGAGAGACACAGTGAGAGAGGGAACACAAGCAGGGGAAGTGGGAGAGGGAGAAGCAGACTTCCTGCTGAGCAGGGAGACGGATGTGGAACTTGATCCCAGGACCCTGGGATCATGACCTGAGCCGAAGGCAGACGCTTAACGACTGAGCCACCCAGGCGCCCCAAAGGAAATTTTTTTTAAAGCTGTGAACCTTTCACCTCCTCACCCCCGATACTTCACTTCTGATACTCCTGGTCACCAAATGTGTAGTTTCCAGAACCGAGCAATCCTGCAACACCAGCTGGGTGTCCCACATCATAACTCAATCTGCCCATTGACACAGAGACAGCCTCAGGTCCTACAGGGGAGGGGCTCAGTTCACAGACTGCCCACCCTCCTCAGACCCTGCAAGTCTAGCTGTCACCTGTGCTCCAGATGGCTGGCTATAAATCAGAGATTCTCATGATCCCCTCCCTGGGTTTGATAACTGCTAGAGTGGCTCACAGAACTCAGAAAAACAGTTAACTTACTAGACTATGATTTAGTAAAAGAGCCAAATGGAAGAGATGCACAGGGCCAGGTATGTGGGAAGGGGAAGCAGAGTCACGCCCTCTCCCTGCACCTCCATGAGTTCACCCACCTAAGCTCTCTGAACCCCATACTCCATGGATTTTAAGGAGGCTTCAGGGCCTCGGCATGATTGGTTACACTGGCTGCTGGTTTAAATGATTCACCTCTAATCTCTCTCCCCTCCCAGGTCAAGGGGTAGGCCTCTGTGTTCCAAACTTCTAGACAGGGTGGGTTCCTCCCAGTTATCTAGGATATTTCTAGAAATCACCTCATTAACATAAAGGCTGGTGGCTGAAAGGCTCTTCTTATGAATAACAAAAGACTACCCATTTTACCTTTATTATTTATCTGGAGCTATTTCAGGAACTAGGAGCAAAACCAAAATATTACAATAAAAGATAACTCTGTAGCTCTTATCTCTTAGGATTACGAGGGTTTAGGAGGATTATGAGGGTTTTAGGAGCCAGAAAAACCCTGGACAAAACCAAAATATATACCACAAATCTATTATATTTGATGCGAACCCTGCCCCTCCCCCACCCGCAGCCCTCAATCAGCAACTTAGGCTATTTGACTTCTAATTTGGGTAATGGAATTTTTTTTTTTTTAAAGATTTTATTTACTTGTTTGACAGAGAGAGAGAGAGCACAAGCAAGGGGAGCAGCAGAGGGAGAGGGAGAAGCAGGCTCCCCACCGAGCAGGGAGCCCGATGTAGGACTCGATTCCAGGACCCTGGGACCATGACCTGGGCTGAAGGCAGAAGCTTAACTGACTGAGCCACCCAGGCGCCCCTTGGGTAATGGAATTTTTTAAAACACAGATTTAAATGCTTACATCGTTAAACTACCTTTTCCTCTTATGATACTATCACTGTTAAATCTAAAAAGACCACACCCCTTCCTGAGGTTTCATGAATACATAAAATTTTCTTCTAGTTTTTACATCTTTAAAATTAATTAATTAATTAATTAATTTTTTGAGAGGGGGAGTGGGGGGGTAGAGTGAGAGAATCGCAAGCAAGCTCCACGCCCAGCACGGAGCCCAAAGTGGGGCTCCAGCCCAGGACCCTGAGATCATTACCTGAGCTGAAACCAAGAGTCAGATGCTCAACCGACTGAGCCACCCAAGCACTCCTACATCATATTTTAAGGGCTGTGTCTCCCTCAGATGTCCTGTTACTGCTTTCTGTTTTTTTTTTTTTTAAAGATTTTATTTATTTATTTGACAGAGAGAGAGAGAGCGGAGAGCAGGAACACAAGCAGGGGGAGTGGGAGAGGGAGAAGCAGGCCTCCCGTGGAGCAGAGAGCCTGATGCGGGGCTCGATCCCAGGACCCTGGGATCATGACCTGAGCCGAAGGCAGACGCTGAACGACTAAACCACTCAGGTGCCCCTACTGCTTTCTATTTGAATTCACGCTAGAAGATCCCAAGTTTTTGGAATTTATTTGATTTGTTTTACGGCCCAGTTATCACAGTGAACGTAGCATGCACACTTGAAAAGAACGTGTTTTGCAACCATTTGGTGTGATGTCTCAAAAATATTAATTAGAGCAAGATGAATGATAATGTTCAGATTATCTGTCTTTACTTCTTAATTGTTCTACCCATTGCTGAAAGGACTGCAGATGTTTGTTCCTTAATTCTTGAAATTCTTCAATTCTGCCAACTTTGAAGCTCTGTTATTAGGTGTATACACATTTACGATTGACAGGTCTTCCTGATAAAATGATCCCTTTATCATTATGAGATGTCCTCTTATTTCTGGCATATTCTTTGCCTTTTAGTAATCTGATTTTACCATAGCCACTCTACCTTTCTTATGCTTATGCAGTTTGTATAGATATCTTTTATTTTCAACCTGTGTCTTTACATTGTTAAAAACAAAACAACAGGCCCAAAATGGAGTCACTTATGCCAAGCCTCATGTCAAACTGAGGCTTACCTTCACTTTTGGTTCTTCCAGAAATGTAATTTAAAACCAGTCAATTAGGAATCACCTAGTTAGGCATTTGCCTAATTGATTTTGCCATCCTGTAAAGGAAAGTGACTTTGCCATAACCAATATGCTTTTTTGTTCTTTCTTCCCACTCCTGTCTGCCTATAAGTCTTTCATTTTGTGCAGCTCTGTGGAGCTCCCTTTTCTTTTTTTTTTTTTTAAAGATTTTATTTATTTATTTGACAGAGAGAGACACAGAGAGGGAACACAAGCAGGGAGAGTGGGAGAGGGAGAAGCAAGCTTCCTGTGGAGCAGGGAGCCTGATGTGGGGCTCAATCCCAGGACTCTGGGATCATGACCTGAGCCGAAGGCAGATGCTTAATTGACTGAGCCGCCCAGGTGCCCCCCCCCTTTTTTTTTTAAAGTAGACTCCAACCACAACCCTGAGATCAAACCTGAGCTGAGGTCAAGAGCTGGATGCTTAACTGTATGAACCACTGGGTGCCCCTTGGCACCTGGCAGCATCTAATCTATCTGCTAGATTACATGCTGCCTGATTCAGGAATGGTTACATAAAGCCAGTAAAATCTTTAAAATTTACTTAGTTGCGGGGCGCCTGGGTGTTCAGTCATTAAGCGTTTGCCTTCAGCTTAGGTCATGATCCCAGGGTCCTGGGATCGAGCCCCGCTCGGGCTCCCTGCTCTGCAGGAAGCCTGTTTCTCCCTCTCCCACTCCCCCTGCTTGTGTTCCCTCTCTCGTTGTGTCTCTGTCAAATAGATAAATAAAATCTTAAAAAAAAATTTACTTAGTTGAATTTGTTTTTAACAATATTTAAAGTGCATTCCTTGTAAGCAGCATGAAACTTGGTTTTGCTTTTTATCTATTCTGACAATGTTTGCCTTTTAATTGGAGTGTTTAGTGCCTTTACATGGTGTAATTATTGATGTGTTTGGATTTGGGTCTCTCATTTTACTATTTTACTGTTTGTCTTTCCACTTGAGTTTGGGTCATGTTTCACTCTTCTTGGTATGATTAGTGATGCTGGACTGTACGCTGGTCCTCGTGAATAACATGGTGTTGAAACTCTGGATTTTATTGTCTCTCTGGAGAGCACTGATTTTTAAAATAGTTTTTAATTTAAGTAGGCTCCATGCCCAACATGGGGCTTGAAGTTACAACCCTGAGATCAAGAGTTGCATGCTTTACCAACTGAGCCAGCCAGATGCCCATGATTTTGTTTTGAAGACTGACTTTCTTTTCTTTTCTTTCTTTCTATCTATCTATCTATCTATCTATCTATCTATCTATCTATCTATCATCTATCTATCTATCTATCTATCTATCTATCTATCTATCTTTCTTTCTTTCTTTCTTTCTTTCTTTCTTTCTATCTATCTATCTACCTACCTACCTACCTACCTACCTACCTACCTAACGCAGGCACCCATGAGCAGGGCAAAGAGGCAAAGGGAGAAAATCTTAAGCAGACTGCGCAGAGCGTGGAGCCTGACATGGGGCTTGATCCCACATCCTCAAGATCATGACCTGAACCAAAATCAAGTGTGACCTGTACAATTTCCTTTTCTTTGAGTTTTACTAATGATTTTTGGTTGCGGAGTATTTGGTAATTGTCTCCTTGACAAGAATGTTATATTATCAACTAGCTATATTGCTTAATAGAACTTAGGTGTCAATACAGAGGCAAAGAAAGCATTGAGAGTAGTAGTTTTCAAACCTTTTTTTGGCACTATGGAAGCTTTTCAAAAGAAATAAAATACTTATTCACTGACAGATAAAACAGATCATAAAACAGAGCAGTTCTGGTTATGCTGGGGAGGGGAGGGGTGGCACAGTGGGAAGCTGGAGCCCAGCTCACTAGATTCTTCCTTCCCTTTGGCTACCTGTGGAGATCCTTCAGGGTGGAAGCTGATGAGAGAAGAGTGGCTCAGAGAGAGATGAGGGACTCAAGCTGCTCTTGCTGCCTTTGAAGGTGGGGACTATGAGCCACGGAGCACAGAGGCCTCTAAAAGCTGGGAGTGGCCCTCAGCTTACAGCCAACGAGAAAACAGGGACCTTGATTTTGCAACTGTAAGGAACTGAATTCTGCCAACAGCCTGAAGGAACAGAAAATGGATTTCCCCTTAGTCTCCAGAAAGGAACATGGCCTGCTGACACCTCGATTTTAGTCTGATGAAACCTTTACCAGACTTCTAACCTGCACAACTGGGAGATACTAAATCGATGTTGTTTTAAGCCACTAAGTTTGTGGCACTTTGATGTGACAGGAATAGAAAAAATAATAGAGGTACGAATCTCTGTTAATATTTTAACTACATCCCTATCTTGTCCTATCACCATTCCAGCCACATTTATGGTGTCTATCCAGCTCTACCAATACTCCTAGAAATTTGTCATCCTCTGATTTGGGGAAAGGAAAGGAATTTCTCAAAAGTTAATCTTCTTGGTATTAGTCCTTTTTTTTTTTTTTAAAGTAGGCTCCATGCCCAGAGGGGAGCCCAACATGGGGACTGAACTCAAAACCCTGAGATCAAGACCTAAGCTGAAACCAAGAGTCGGATGCTTAACTGACTGAGCTACCCAGGTGCCCCCGGTTATCTTTTTGAATCAGGTACATACCTCATTCTTGTTTGAAAAAGAGATGATAAATTCCAGAGCCACTGAATGATCTGTTTTTAAACCTTCCAAGGATGTGAAAAGCATGTCCCTGAATCAGATCAAGAGTACACTTTCACTTATCAAATACCTAGCTCTCACATAGATACTCACTTATTCAAATCAATTTCATAAGTTTGCATATGAGGTTTATCTCCAGTCTTGTCTGGGTCCCATCGGTAGATGGCAAATTTCTTGATTCGGGGAGCTGCAGCAGCAGCTGTCTGTGCCCCCCGGCAGGCCTGAAATTGAAAAAATTCACAAGAAGGAAAAAAAAAATATTAAAAATGCAAGATAAATCCTTCTGTTTAGCTGGCACTATAAACTACCACACTGGACACAAGCCCACCCATTACTGACACACAGTCTTTTTTTTGTTTTGTTTTTTTAAAGATTTAATTAACTAATTAATTTTTAAAAGGTTTTATTTGACAGAGAGAGAGAGAGTACATAGCGAGAGCAGCAACACAAGCAGGGGGAGTGGGAGAGGAAGAAGCAGACTTTCCGCCTAGCAGGGAGCCCGATGCAGGGCCCGATCCCAGGACCCTGGGATCACGACCCGAGCTGAAGGCAGACGCTTAATGACTGAGCCACCCAGGAGCCCCAAGATTTATTTATTTTAGAGTAGCGCATGTGAGCGCATGGAGCGGGGAGGGGCAGAGGGAGAGTCTAAACCAGACTCTGCTGAGCCCAGAGCCCATGGCAAGGCTCTGATCTCACAACCCGGATACCACAAGCGAGCCGAAATCAAGTTGGGACGCCTAATTGACTGAGCCACCAAGGTGCCTCCTGACACAGTCTTCCCGAGAAAGGCAGTCATTTGATATCCAACAAATACTAAGCACCTAGCACGTACCAGATATGGTACTGGGGGCGGGTGAAATAGCACATAATGAAACAAAGTCTTTGCCCTCACAGAATCTACTTTGTATGAGCAAGAGAGAAATTTATTTAATTAAATTATTTATTTATGATTTTATTTATTTATTTGACAGAAAGAGACACAGTGAGAGAGGGGACAAAAGCAGGGGGAGTGGGAAAGGGAGAAGCAGGCTTCCTGCGGAGCAGGGAGCCCGATGTGGGGCTCGATCCCAGGACCCTGGGATCATGACCTGAGCTGAAGGCAGATGCTTAACGACTGAGCCACCAGGCGCCCCTATAAAAAGATTTTTATTTATTTGACGGAGAGAGAGAGAGAGAGAGAGAGAGCAAGCGCACAAGCAGGGGGAGTGGCAGGCAGAAGAAGAAGCAGGCTCCCCGCTGAGCAAGGAGCCTGATCCGGGGCTTGATCCCAGGACCCTGGAATCATGACCTGAGCCGAAGGCAGATGCTCAACTGACTGAGCCACCCGGGCGCCCCAGCAAGAGAAATTAAATATTCATAATAACGTATAAAGAGGAAAGAACACAACAGAGACTTACACTAGTACAAGAGATCAGGGAAGGCCCCATAAAGGATATTCAAGCTGTGGCTTGGTAAGTAGGGATCAGGGGAAGGAGTAGGGATGTATAAACTGAGGGGACAACACATGTGGAGGCCCAGATCGGGGAGAGCACAGTGCATCTGGGAGAACCGAGAGAAGTCCAGTATGAGTGAGGGAGGCTTGAGTAAGGATGGAAGTGGAAGATGTGAGCAAGACAAGATTTCGATTTTATCCTAAGAGCAATGAGAGGCTATCACAAATTATCAGGTGGAAGACATAATCATTCTTTATTTTTGAGAAGAATATCACTGGCTTGAAGGAAGAACTGTCAGACAACATGTGGAGAAACCAGTAGAAAGCTACTGTAGTTGTTGTAACAAGATGCTGGTGCTTTTAGATTAGGTGTCTTAGTCAGCCCGGGCTGCTGTAACAAGACACCAAAGACTGGGTGGCTTAAACAACATGTTTCTCACAGTTCTGGAGGCTAGGAAGTCCAAGATCAAGGTGTCAGGCAGACTTGGTGTCTGGTGAGGACCCTCTTCTTGGTTTACAGATGGCTGCTTTCTTGCCGTGCCCTCATGTGGCAGAGAGAGAGATCTTGTGTCTTTTCCTCTTTTTGTAAGGGCGCCAAGCCCATCCTAAAGGCCCCACTCTCCTGACCTCATCTAACCCTAATTCCCTCTCACAGGCTCCACCTTCAAGCACCATCACAATGGGGGCTGGGGTTTCCATGTATGAATTCTGGGGGAACACAAACATTCAGTTCACAGCACTATAGCAGGAAAGAAGAGACTACATTTAGGGAACTAACAAACAGCTGAGTCCTGTTCTCAAGGAATATTCTATTCCAGCTCCTGGATATTCCGTCTCTGCCAGCTCACACTGTGAGCCCAGAACCCCGGGGTGCCACTGCAGGGCTGCTACGAGAGGGACGGTGAGGAGGTCTGGCCTCTGATTCCTTCCCTCCTTCACCGGAACAGCTTCCCCCTAAGAACAGATTTGCAAAAAGGGTGCTATTGCTCAAAAGTTTCATATTTGAATTCATACTCATTTTTAAAGCCACTATTTATATGAGCTGATGAGAGGAGCCACAACTGGAACCCAAGTCTGCCTGACTCCAGAACCCATGTTCCTAAAACACTGTACTATCCTATTTATTTTTGAATATTTGCAGGTCTCTTCTTGGTTTTGTCTTCTTTTTATGTCTTAAATTCCTTGAGGGCATGTGTATTAGAGTTCTCCTGAGAAACAGAATCAGCAATGTGTATGTTTATACATACATATACATGTATACATACATATGAAAAAATACATACATACATATATATATTTATAAAAAGAGATTTATTATAAGGAATTGGCTCATGACTATGGAGGATAGCAAGCCCCAAGAGCTGCAGCTGGCAAGCTGGAGACCCAGGAGAGCCAATGATGTAAATCCAGCCCAAGCCTGAAGGCCCATGAGCCAGGAGAGCCGATGATGTGGTTCTAGATCAAAGGCCAGCAGGCTTAAAACCCAAGAGTTGATGTTCAGTTTGAAAGCAGTCAGGCAGGAGGAATTCCTTCTTATTTGAGGAAGAGGAGCCTTTTGTTCTACTTATGCCCTCAACTGATTGGATAAGGCCCACCCACATTACTTGGTTTATTTATTTAAAAGGATTTTATTTATTTGAGAGAGAGAGTGCAAGCGAGAGAGCAAAAGTAGAAGGAGCAGCAGAGGCAGAGGGAGAAGCAGGCTCCCCACTGAGCAGGGAGCCCGATGCGGGGCTCGATCCCAGGACCCTGGCATCATGACCTGAGCTGAAGGCAGTTGCTTAACTGACTGAGCCACCCAGGCGCCCTGGTCTATTGATTTAAACATTAAACTCATCCAAAAACACCGTCACAGAAATACCCAGAGTGTCGGACCAACTACCTGGGCACCCTGTGGCCCAGTTGACACATAAAATTAACCACTCACAGCATGGAACAGGTTACATTTTACATCTCCCAGTGTACCTGGTCCAGGCCTTTGCACACAGCAGTTCAATTTATGGTTAGGAAAAATTGAAGAAAAATGCAAAAAATTATACTGGAATTTAAAATAAAATAAAATTTAAAAAGGGAAAAAAGAAAAAAGAAAAACTTGAGCATTAGATTAACACAAACATGCTGTCCCCATCCCACAGCCCTTGAAACTCTTCCATCCAGGAGGAGGACACCAGGCGGAGGCCACACCAAGTCCCCTGGGCCCCATCCGAGGGGCAGAGTGGGTGTCCTGTCAGTCCAAACAGCAACTAGCAGCTGAGCCCCCAGTTTGTATGCAGACACATGCAGACTATCTCCCAGGCCAGCTAGTTCTCTTATAAACTGGTAAAAAAAGATGAAAAACTGGGAAGGTTAATTGTGTAACTACAAGAAATGTGATGGTCATACTTGCTGGCAAAAAGTGTCCTGAATTAATATTATGCAGCCATCAAAAGGAATGAGATCTTGCCATTTGCAACGACATGGATGGAACTGGAGGGTGTTATGCTGAGCGAAATAAGTCAATCAGAGAAAGACATGTATCATATGACCTCACTGATATGAGGAATTCTTAATCTCAGGAAACAAATTGAGGGTTGCTGGAGTGGGGGGTGGGGTGGGAGGGATGGAGTGGTATAGATTGACACTGGGGAGGGTATGTGCTATGGTGAGCGCTGTGAATTGTGCAAGACTGTTGAATCACAGATCTGTACCTCTGAAACAAATAATGCAATATATGTTAAGAAAAAAAAGAAAGATAGCAGGAGGGGAAGAATGAAGGGGGGGAATCGGAGTGGGAGACGAACCATGAGAGACGATGGACTCTGAAACACAAACTGAGGGTTCTAGAGGGGAGGGGGGTGGGAGGATGGGTTAGCCTGGTGATGGGTATTAAAGAGGGCACGTTCTGCATGGAGCACTGGGTGTTATGCACAGACAATAAATCATGGAACACTACATCAAAAACTAATGATGTAATGTATGGTGAGTAACATAACAATAAAAAAAGCAAAAAAAAAAAAAGTGTCCTGAATTAAGTGAGGCTGAAAATATAAACATCAGATCTCAGTATGAGAAAAGGAAATACAGAGAGAAGGTGAGAATGAAGGTGAAGTGTTATTTTCTTTTATTACCAATCTGGCTAGGATCAGCAGTAAAAGGAACATCTTCCATCAGGGACTCCATCTTTTTTTTTTTTTTAAGGAATTAAAGGCAGGATTCTATTCTATTCCATTCTGTTTTATTTATTTTTAAGCTCTACGTGGGGCTTGAACTCATGACCTGGACAGCAAGAGTCGCTCCCTCTAGCGACTGAGGCAGCCAGGCACCCCCCAGGAACTCCATTTTGTAAAACAGCAGGAACATTTGGTTAACGCCACCTTGTGGCGTTTAAGACAAAGTGGACGAAGTGAAAAGATCACTGAAGATATTTGCTCCAGCAGCCTTCCGCTTGCTAACTGCCCCCACCTTGTTTTGGTTAGATTTAATGAGGTATAATTCATTACAATAAAATTCACCAATTTTAAGTGTATAGTTTGATGAGTTTTAACAAAGAAGTATAACTCCCACCACAATTATGACAGACCATTTCCATCTAGAAAGTTCTCTAGTGTTCCTAAATTTACAATCAGTGCCCTCTCCCTAACCCTTGTAACTGCTGTGCTTTCTATCACTACACATTTGCCTTTTACAGAATTTCATATAAATGCAATTGGACTTGGGTCTAGCTTCTTTCACTTGACATAATGCTTCTGGGATTCATTCACAGTGTTGTATATATCCAGAGTTTGTTGCTTTTTAAAAAAATTAAACTTTTCA